GTCCCGGGGCGTTTCGTTATACACGTTCTCTCTCTCGAGGCCGTACATGCAAGGGAGAGGGGGTGGGGTTTTGGGGTTTCGAGCCCCCATCACCTGAGCGCGTCCCGATTTCGCCCTTTTTCAATGTCCCGAGGACCGGAAAAAACAGATATCATGTTTTCAACGTAGCCCGAACGCGTCACAGGTACACTACTACAGCAGGTGCGTTTAAATGCCGCCATTTTCACAAAATCCATTCTACATAATTTATTTGACCCGCCGATCAGTATATCAATTATTAATAAGTACCTACTTACGACCGCGAACGCACTCGGGCTGTGAAAAAGATAATAATCAAAAACGGGACGCGCTCGGGATATCCAACCCCACACCCCACCCACGGCATTTTGTCTTGCCGTATTGTTAGTCATTAATTACCGAGTACGTTAGCTGACCAACATAATTCCCTTTACTCCCGAAATCGTTTCCCGGTTAAGTTTTTTATGGGTATTATAATACGTCTGCATGTCGTACAGCAATATGAACGAAATTATTATTTCGTCTATAATAGGCAATCGCCAGCATTAGCATAGGTTTCGTTTTTGTTTTTGTCGGCTGCGCACGGTCTCGCGAGACGGCCGACCGGTAGGTCCGCGGAATTGCGATAGGGATTTCCCATTTTCGCGGGAGGCCCGCGGCGGGTGACGCGCCCTATTTGCACACGCTCGTACATTATTTGTGTGACACCGTCGCCCGCGCTCGCCACACTAATAATTTACAGGGCGACAAAAACGTGACGTAATCGACACTCGTATTTCGGATATGTCCACCGAACGGTAATACAATCGGCCGTGTATTAGGTGGGTACCTATTGTTGTTACCGCCCGTAATAATGTCACCAATCGTAAACTCGAGACCTACCCGGTTGAAACACACCGGGTTATTGGATATTATGTAGGTATACGGTGCGACTTCATCATACCGAAAACGAAATGGCCCCGTGTTACGGTAAAACCGTGTTTCACTGTCATCAGTCATTACATATTATGGCCACACAGTCCCGCGCTTTACATCGTTAATTATCATTATGTTTATTTTCGTATTTCTGTGTATTTAGGATCCTATCGGCTGCCATTTTTAATTCGTATGCGCGATAAAACGGCAGAGTGGGGGGATTGCTAGTGCGGTAACCTGATTTCAATCGCGAATGACACGTTCGGGACGTGCACTATACAGAGTGTGATCAATCCTCGGTGAGACATTCGGAAAGTATATTAACTTTTTTCGCAGATCGTTTTTTAAAACTTTTATGAAAGAAGCGCAGCTCTAATACGTTACGCTATCGTTATTTTTTACCGCCCTTAGTTTCAGTGGCGAAACCGCTCGTTTTGATTTTTAAATAGCAGCGTATATATTAAAAATTGCATAAATAGTCAAACGAAGTTTCGGTTTGAGTAAATTTTGGTAATTTTAATTACCCGTTTACAAGATATTCCGCTCTTGAGTTGGCTGCTTTGTAGATGGGAGGAGATAGTGCTATAGTCAGGAGGCTATATTCCTTCAAAATCTCCTCTAACCCTGCTAATGTTTCCTATAGCTTCCCTGTAAATGAATATGCAGTTAAAGGTTTGTTCTTTGTAAAAGCTACGTTATTTAACGTACTATTTTTTGATTTACGAGAATACATTTTCTTTGCCAGTCCAAATAATAAGTTGTATTTGATGTAAACAGAATGATTTATTAAGAAAATTTGAATGTAATTTCGTACACTCATGTACACTGATTTTCGTTAGTAATTTATCCTTTGCATTTAACTGAACGTCGCTCAGAATTGCTTTTATCGCTGCGTTTAGATGTAAATCCCCTGTCCAAACAGTGGCACATCCGTTGTGCATAGTATGTTAACTTATTTTTTAATTACAACATTTTAGATTCTAAGCGTAGCGTAGAATGTATTGGTTTTACTGTGGTGTACGATAATTATATTTGGTCATGTTTGTTAACAACTTTTCTATCAGAAATATTGTTCCAAATTCTAGGAATAACATCTTTCTTGAAAGAATATTGTAACTAGTTGGAGTATAGAGAATTCGTTATTTGATTTTTCTTGTAGTTTTTTAAATAACTAGTAAAACCCGGGAAACGAACCTATTCACAAAAATAATAGTTTTTTTTTTTTTTTTTTTAATTATTCCTTTCAATTTTGGCAGTAGAATAAATATTTAAGAAAGATTACTTAACTTCTGTTAAATCTTTCTTGCAAATTGAAAAAGTACAAAATTAATTTTAGGCGTACAAACTTTGTTCGACTAGACTCGTTAGATAATTGTATTACAATGTACATTTTTCGACTAGCAGAAAAAGTTTTAAACGAAACAGCTTTACATATTTTAAAACCAAATGAGTAGATAATATACAGAAATAATTCTAAAATATTAAAAGATAAAATACTTGTAACATTATATCAGTTCAAACAATAATTTCGATTCGTTTTTATATAACTATTCAAGACGATATTGTTTTAGCAAAGCGATTAATTAACATTTTATAATATCATTCATTATTAATTATTATTAACTTTCTCTGAAATGTGTTATTACAAAGTAAACAATTATAATATTATTCGCATGCAATATTCTATATAGTTGTAATTTTAATATTTATGTTGCATCGTCTGCTGTATCGTTCCTGTTGAATTAATTATGAGCAATAATTGGAAGGGGTAGGCGAATAAATCGCTGTAATATAAACAATCGATTTTGGAAACGAGCATTTATTTTAAGTAATAATTTTTATTCGAAACAAATTGACGTATTAATAAACCATAAAAACATTAAAAACCAAGCGGGTTATAGTAGAAACTTATTATAGAAGTTTTCATAAGGTTGTTCAGGGGGACAAATAATGTTATAACCAATATTAGTGTATAAATGCAACTTATACAAATTATTTTTCTGACGTTAGTAATAATAAAGAGTTGAAAAATTTGTTATTAAAATGATAGCGTTTTATTAATTTGGAATTTAATTTTTTTTTTCAATATTTTCAGTTATCAACTATAAACATTTACAGGTAGTTTTACAGTTTTTTATTCCGGTGATTTAGTATTATAACTTAAAGTTTTAAAAGGAATACAACCATTCATTTGAATCGCATAGTATTTAAATCCAGATCTTGAGCATAGTCACGATTTTTTATAGTATAATTATGAAGTGTGTTTTTTTCTTTCTGTCTGAATAACTTTTTGAAAAGAAAATGTGCTCGGATGTATCAAGTGTAGCAACTTTTTTGAAAGGGAATGTTTTCTTGTTGGTGTATTAGAGAGGTTATTTTGATTTATCAAGGGGTTTTCAAAATAATTCGGAAAAAACTGAAAGAAAATTACGGGTAAAACGGCAAATATTTACGGCATACCGCGGCGTTACCGTTTCCATTGTTTTTAATTTTTTGTAACCTATGTTTTTTACCAGAAATGTTGCTCAAATAGAACAACCCTTTCTTTTTATTGATTTTCTGATGAAGTTACTCACAAAAAAAGTAATTTTTGGATTTTCCAAGTAATTTTTATAATAATTAGGAAAAACCGGGAAAAAAAACGTTTTATAATTTATTTATGTTTTAGAATATTAAATTCAAATTTATGTGAAAATTCGTAAAGACCATGAACAATTTTAATATTTGTTTTATGGTAAAAGAATAATAAAGTTTTCAATTTTAATTTATTAAAACCTGTTTTATCGAACTTCACTCTGAATCATTATTCGTTTGTAACAATTTATAGTTGCACACAGTTATACATAAACTACTATCTATACACCCTATATCTATCCAATTTCTCTTCATCCATCAACGACTCAACCGCAACCACGGTGTGATGTATAATATTTATCGTTTTTTTAATATTTGTACAAACATTTTAATACATGATTTGTCTATTTAAAAAATATTCATTGATTTATTAAGCATTTCAATTTTAAACAGGACACATGCGAAATGGGTCTCGAGAAAGTTGTTTTAATAATAATAATAAAAAAGATAAATATAATAAAAAATATCGAATAAATAGTTTTGGTCGAAATTTACTATAATTATCATTAATATCATTTATCAAATTGATTGATCTAATAAAAAAAATAAACTGTGCTTGGAGATATATTTTTAATGGTTATAGTTGAGTTAAGTTATATTTCGTAATATTATTATCGTAATTTAAACTGAAAAAAATAGTTATAAAATAATTAGTTTACTATTAACGCCTTTTGAGCGAAGAGTAGGAACTATTATTTTTGAACTAAATACGGCTTTTTTCCGCAATATAATTATTTTTTCGTTAGTTTAATTTCTCTACACGTTTAAAACATTTAATTAGGTTACTACCATTGTAGATAAATATAAGGTGTTATTTAGAGTTTAGAATAAGCATTCGTTGAAAGTCCTATAGTTATACCCAGTGGTGGTTTTAGGAGGGGGGGGTGTTCAGGGGGGTTCGGACCCCCAGACTTCGAATTTAAATTTTGAATTAGTTTGAAATTGAAAATTAAAACAAATGGAAAAAACTGGGAAAAAAAATTTAAGTGATATATTAGTAATTACGGTCTTTTTTATCTGTGGACAACATTTCTCCTCGCATTTTGTTCCGATTTACAATGGTTGAATGATAGCACTTTTTCTGAAAGTAAATCTGACTAGGAAAATAATTTAAGGAGGTCATTTTTTGATTTTTCCACGAATTTTTTCAACAAATGTGAAAAAAAAAATGGGAAAATTCATGAAATGTAGGTATTGGTTAAAAATATTATGGCCTTTTTTAATCTTGTGAACAATTTTTCTACCAGCGATTTCACTTCAATTTACAATAATAACATTTTTTTCTAATGGAATCGGATTGGGGAGGCCTTTCAGTGAGATCAATTTTTGATATTCCAAGGAGTTTTTCCATTAAATGGAAAAACGGGAAAATAGGTAAAATATTAAACAAATAATATTAAAGAAACTATGTGATGCATATTTAATTATTTTACCATAATATAACATGTAAATTGTTGACAAAGTAACACTATCAACCAAATTCTGCTCAGAATTGTTTTTTCAATAGCAATGGTTAATCGTTGCTTACAAATATACATTAAATTATCTTTAGCAGTCACTTAAATCGTCCTTATTATCCTAGAACAGCTTTTGTATTTTGTAAAATATGTTTTTATACCTATGGGTTAGATCAAATTAAGTAAAAAAATAGGTTATTTTTTCTGACAGTGAAAGTTGGACAATTTAAATTAAATTAATACACATCAAAGGGAATATATTTATTTATGTTAAATATATAGTTAATATCAATGGACCCCCTCTCTAGAAAAAATTCCTAAAACGACCACTGGTTACCACTGGTATACATACCTTTATAAATAAGTATATAGGAACCCTGAAAATGATTTTTGTTTGTTTTTTAAAACGTTTTATTTGATTCACTTAGTATTTTGGAAACAAACTATTTGAGTGTGTTTTATTGTAAATTTATATAAAAACATCAGTTTTAAAAACAATACATTTTAGACACTTTTGATTTATGGATTTTAATTTCAAATTTGAAGCAGTTGATTTTTCAACCAAACTTTGGGTTACGTTTCCGTATAAGGCACCTGTAAATTATACTTTTAATTCTGAGTAGAGTGAAAAAAACCTATATTTATTTCTTGAAAAACACTTTGTTTTTTTTGAGGGGAGAGAGAGTGAGAGAGTAGTAATCGAAAAGTTTCACGCTACACATTGATGGATAGGAAATTGAATTTTAAGATTGCTGTTTTTTGATAGTCTCCGCATAGTTTTCCAAAAGTTTAATATAATATGCCACGTAAACTCAATAAAAAAAGACGGATACTAATTTAATTTTTAACTGCACTCAACAGAAAACCATTGCTAACGAATAACGATTTTAAGCTAAGTATTACTAGTTATGTTTCTTCTTTTGTTGCCAAGATAAACCAGAAATCAACAAATATAACACGAATTTCGCATTTATAAAATTTACAAGGAAAACCAAAAAATTATTTTCTTGCACCAACTAGATTAAAAATGTTACAAAAAACTTCTTTTAGTTTTTGATTGGAGCAAGATTACTAATGAAGGTGTTGAACAATATTTCAATAGCATAGTAATAGCATTTGATTGTATTATACATTATATATACATTAATAATGTTATAAATTTACTCATATAATTTCAACGGCACTGCGGCTTCACGTTTTCCCTGGTTCGAGATCTCAGAACGAGTTTGTATTGCCCTCGGACGATTTATTATTTTGCGGTCCAACAACGGACGCGGATGCCCTCAAAACCGGAAGTTAACTTCTTGTTTTAGACCCATTCGCGTTTTGTCGAAATGTTGTACTTTCAGAATTTCCATCCACTTTTCTAATCGCGCTTTCCGCAAAAAAATTGCTTTCCATCACACACAATACATATCACACTAAATGAAGTTATAGTTAATAAGATATACGATATGGTATATACATACACTTACCCGTCATTATATTACGATTGTACATTGAATTTAACTAGACAATCATTTTTCAACGTCGTCGTCATATGCGAACCTTCATTTTTTAGCAACCTTTTTGATCAATTATCGTATACAATTAAACAATATTTATTACTATTCATGAAAAATATAGAAGACATTGAACAAAAATAAAAATAATTTAGATTTAGAATAATATATTATTACATATAATTGGGGATATTTAACATTGAAATATAAAATTGTAAAATAATTTTAAAACATTATGCTTTTCATTATTTATATTGCACTGTTTCTTGCAGGTATAGGTGAGATTACTCGGTTTCATGGATTTAATTTAGAGTCCAATTTTGAGTGGCCTCGTCTTTTTATTCAAAAATTTGGTGATTAGTGACGTATTATGATTTAGCATTTTTGTTTCTTTTAGAAAAAAAAAAAAAATTGGATAGAGTAATAATTTACGTTTTTTACAATGCCTTATCTGTTTTGTAACAAAATCTCCGGTCCTAAAATTGGTAAATCAGACTCTGTATTTTATTATTATTTTAAAATAGAAAGCTAAAATAACTTATCGTATAAAAAAAAAAAAAACATATTCTGAGTAAAGTTCACAATGGAAATTTATTTGTTTTTATTTCACATTTAAATATTAAATTACCAATTAATTTTAATGTTTTTTTAATTGTTATTACTTATTACTGTAATAAATTAATGAATAAGGGTAAAATACTACGATTATATTATACGTGAATAGCTTTCATAATTATACAGGATTATGTTCCACGGAGATTGCAATTTTTCTCGATTAAAATCTTCTTTACGTTTTTATTATTATTATTATTATTAATATTTTTATTATATGATTTATAAAACTATGTTTATAGCGAACGTAAAGGATGAATAATAGTGGCTATTGAAGAGGTTTTGATTAAAGAGGTCACCCATTGGTGGTAATCCGGCGGGATGGTTTTAAGTAAATTAAATTCCTGTTTTGTTATTTTTTCAATATTTATGCAATTTTTTAAGGTTCATTTCAACACAATTTTCAAATTTCGAACCCTGCATTTTTAGAAAGTATTTACTTAAATTTTTAAAAATTTGAAGAGGGGGAATTGTTGTTTAAAAATCAAAAGTTATGACTCACGGAATAAAGATAACATTTTAAAAAATAAGACCATTAAACAATTTCTAAATAATGACTGAAAAAAAACCAACATTTTACTATAAATCTTCGTAGATAATCGCTGAATCACGATAAAAAAATTACTCTATATGTATTATATAATATACAATACATATAGATTACATTATATAATATATAATACATTACACGATATTTAATTAAAAGTATAATTTATAAGTCATAACATTGAGCTAAAATTAACCAAAAATTAATTTACAAAAATTCAACGGGTGTAATAATACAGATAATAGTTATACAATAATAAATACTTTAAGAAAGCTAAAATTAAAATTGAAGTACACTTAAGTTGTATTACTCCAGGATTTGTTTTCGGATGGGACAAGAGAAGGTGCTTACAATATTTTGTCCAAAATAACATGCGAGAATGAGCTGAGGAGCATTTCGTAGTACTCTATGTTGAAATATTTATAATTAAACTAGTATATTTTAAAAATGTATATGTTATCCTGATACATTAAGGGGGGGGGGGTTATAAACTATCGTTAGTTAACCTTTAAAACTATATTTAACATTTTCATATATTTACGTTTTAAATTTATATTATTTCTCTAGAAATATTAGAAATAAACAAATATTAATTATCAGACAATGAAAGTTATCATTTTAAAAACTATTCATACTTTGTAGATTATATTATTTTAATTTTTAGAAATGTAACGTAAATCTAATTTAAAGTTTTTACTATTATATCGATAACTTCCCTGTGGAGTCATTATAATGACCCTATGAATATTTACCACCGTCAAGTCTAGTTTGTCCAGTTGCACTTACTCCTTAAATAGGTTTTGATACGTTTTAGTATTGAAAACAAAAGTTCTCCGGCGGGTGCACAACATGGTGACACGCAAAGTTATAAAAACTTAAAGTAGCATTGACAAATTGTATTTAGTCTAGGCGTTCATTTCCTATCTTGTACTTTACTTTAATTCATAATATGCATTATATACATATAAATCGTTAAATTTTATGAAAATAATTTTTCATGAATGAAATAATTTTTTTTTTGTAGGGTGGGAGGGGGTTTGTGACCTTTTAACCCCATGTGCACTACTGAGTTACATGGTGTTATAATGTGGTTTGCAAAATATATTTCTACGTACTGAGTATTATTACATCTAAGAATTTAAGGAGCAGTTTTAATTATATTACATGTACATAATAATTCGTTAGGACTTCGTCACTTTAAATTCACTTTGGATATCATATCTTTCAAATTGTATTACAATAATACTTTAAAATTAAGTTGAAAACTTTTTTTAATAAAAGTTTATGAAAAATTATCACGATATTACGCCATAGACGTGATAACTTATATTGTTAAAATTTGTATTAAAATAAATAATGTAAAATTTTATAAAAGTAATTATTTTACTTTGCTGTCAAATTTTAAACAAATATTATTTGTTCTTTACAAGGCTGGAGTTAGTGATTTTTTATACCTATGTAGATAAAATCATATTTTGTAGCTCCCATACAATCTAATAGAATATTAGGAAGGGTAAGCTAATATTTTTAATCAATAAAAAAGTCATCAAAACTTTTGAGCTTTTGGGCGTGCCATAAATTATTTTAAAATTTTAAAGTGTCACGCTTTCGTTAAAATAAATTAGTTTATATGTATAGATAAGTATACATGAGATCACACACGGTTTTGAGAAATATACCTTATTATCTACATGGTTTTAAAAATTATCGTTCATTTTTTTTTTACTTTGAAATAACACGATTACACGATATTGACGTGTCACACAGTGGAGTAAAGCAGTGGTTTTCAAACTTTTAAAAATCGTGACCCCCTAATTTTTTTTTTCATTTATAACGACCCCTTCAAAAATCGTTTAATAGAACTTGAATAATACGATGTCCAGTATACATATAATACTTATGGTTTTTGGTGACCCCTAACTCGCGACCCTCAGGTTGAAAACTACTGGAGTAAAGTACGATCTAAAGTATTTAAATGATAGTTATCTGAATATTGTAAATCAGCGAAAAATGTTTATTTAAAATATATCTTATCCGATATTACGATAACTGAGTATGACCAATTTGAACCAAGTACGGATTGTCAAACGTAACCGGTACGACCAGTGCACTATTCTACAGTACTATTTACTTATTTTTGAACTTCTAATTTTAATTTTTAACTTTTAAATAAAATAAAACAAAATGTTGGAAACACGTGGGCGTTTTTAATAAAAAAAATTGTTTACGGAGAATATAAATCGATAATTTGTATACAAAATGTTGCTTGACAAGGTCTGACAGGTAAATAAAATTACCTTTAATTTCAAACTATAATGCAGCATGTAATGTTATAATATTCGTGTAAATTAATGTTCGTCGGCTCTTTAATTTAAATAATCATATAAAATGAAATGATATAAATATAAAGTAAATACCTTTATTTTCTATACCTCACAGGATGTATATTTAAAACAGGCGATAAAAATAAATAAAACGAACACGAACTTTAACCCTATATGTATACATATACAGCACAATA